TAAAATATGGTTTCTTTTTGTTAAAAAAAAGAAATTACCCATTAAAAAGACCTGTAAGAATATTCATCAAAGTGTTAATAATAATTATCTCTGGGTGGAGGCATTATAAAGTTACTTATCATTTATGCTTTCCTGAATCTTACAATTTTCCTACAATTATTATGTAGTACATTAGTAATTAAGAAAATACAGAATGTTTACAATATTACTGTGGCTACAGTAACAATGGTATCCAAAATCATGCCAACATTGATATTCCCACTCTGTTTAGGCTGCACCAAAATTAGGGATGCCTACCCTCTCCACGTCAGGTCATACTTTGATACTTTAATCACAGTGAAAGAAATTTTCAGAACTCTAGAAAACAGTCAAACAAAAGTTTTCACTCCACCTTTATTTATGATCAAGTACAGTATCAAAAAATATTTAGATATTAGCCATTCTGCTTTTAGCCCCCTGCCAAATGTAAGAATCAAAAGTAAGGAACAAGCCCTGGACCTCAGAACCAGTAGGGCTCAGCTTTTACATACATTCCAATTGTGAGCCAGAAATTTTTTCCTAAAAAGTGAATGGGGGGGGGGATATAGGTATTATCTTTCTCAGTATAGAAAGTGTGGGCCTTTGACACTTCTAATCACAACTCTTCTCAGTCTCATTTGAGAGACAGAAGAATGATTTTTCTCCCCCAATATATTTAAAAGGCATATATCCAAAGGGCAAGGAAGCAGGATTTCTTCTGAGCAAAGATGTTGTAAACAGGAGATTTTCAAACGTTAAATGTTCTCTTTCCTCAGTGCAAATATGCAGCCTAACTCGGAGAGGGCCAAAAAGACTCTGGCAGTATTTGGCTCTCAACAATAAGCAATAGTCAACTGTTAATTCCATCTGCTCCCCTCCAAGAAATGACAAAACATAACATGGTGGTGCCAGGGGTCTCAGGCTCCATTTAAGGGGTTTTCTGAAGGCATCCATTTTCACAAAATTAACATGCTCTCTAATTTTTTTTTAGTACTTCAGAGAACCAATCTTATTTCTTTTTTTTTTAATATATCTTTATTGATTTCAGGGGGGGAGAGAGAGAGAGAGAGAGAGAGAGAAACATCAATCATGAGAGAGCCGTCATTGATCGGCTGCCCCCTGCACACCCCCGACGGGGGGTCGAGCCTGCAACCCGGGCATGTGCCCTGACCGGGAATCGAACCACAATCTCCTGGATCCTAGGTCAATGCTCAACTGCTGAGCCACACCCGGTTCAGCCAGAGAACCAATCTTGATACTACACAATGACAACTTCAATGCTGATAACAAATAAATATACCATCTTTAACATCATATTCTTTGTTAAAGATGTTGCTTCCAGAATTGTCTTCCTTTCTTATCGGTCGAAGCTCTAAATTCCAACCACTTCTGTTGTCTCAGGGACTTAGTTCCAATAAATATCTATCTAATCTTTCCTGAATATCTTAATTCTTGCTTTCCTTAAGAACATAAAGAAACAAACATAACATTCCTTCAGCCTGTATCCCTCTGTAGTGGTTTTCAACATGCCTGCACAGTGGAATTACCCAGGGAACTTTAAAATACCTATGCAACTAATCTATCCTAACAGAAAGTAGATCAGTAGTTTCCAGGGATGAAAGGAAAAGATTACTTTTGGAGGTGATGAATATGTTCGTTATTTTGATTGTGATGATGGTCTTGCGAGTGTAAACATGTGTCAAACAAACTGCACACTTTAAATATGTGTAGTTTACTAAATGCCAATTACACTTCAATCAAGCTGTTGAAAAAAATACTGATGTCTAGGTCCCACCCCACAAATTGGCATGGGGGTTCCCCCTGGAAACTGGGATTCTTAAAAGCTGCCCAGATGATAGTAAATGTGCAGCTAAGATTGAGAACCACTGCTCTATAGCTATCGTTATCTCCTCTCTCCATTCTTTGTTTTCTTGAAATGCCTCATTCAAGCATGTCTACATTATCACCACCCATTCTTTCTCAATTTTCTGAAGACTGGTTTCTGAATCACCACTCAGCTAAAACTGTACTTGTTAAAGTCACCTATGGACTGCTGACAAATTTCCTGGTCCGTGGAGTCCTCTCCTTACTTGACACCTCTTTACAGCATTCAAAACTGTTGAGCCACCCCCCTCTATGTGTACATCTCTTCACTCTTAGCATCTCTCCTGATGGCTCTCCCACCTTTCTCTAACTACTACAGTACTCTTCTATCTTTTTCACACTATACTTCTACTTATTTCCGCTCTTTATCAGAGTCTGTTCTCTGGCTGCTGCTTTTATCATGCTAAAGGCTTCCCTGACTCATTTCAACATAACCAAATCAATACAGCTTCAATTTATCCCTCAATCTTCCCTCTAATCCTGATCTCCTTTACAAATTCCACACCCATAGACCAAAACCTACATCTTCACCTGAATGCTCCATGGCTTGCTCAAACTCAAAAAATGAAAAACAGAATTTATCATCTTCCCTCCCTTTATGTTTTCCTCATTTCCAATCAATGGAAGGAAGTCAAATCCTCAGGGTCCTGATTCCTCCTTCTTTCTTCCCAAAGGTGACAGGACCAATCAGATTCTACCTCACTATGCCAGAGTGAGGGCCTAAAACACAAATCCATTAAATAGTTTCTTATTGATCACCTTCAATCCAATCCCCTTAGCCAGGAAATAAAGCCCTGGTCTGGCCCTCTACCACCCTCTCGGTTCTCACTCCCTCCACTTCCCCAACCCCTGCATTCAAGCCCTGTCAATGTCAATGTTACTGACTTTGGACTTGTCATTGAGAATGACTTCTCTAAACTGTCATGGTTTCTCATGCCTCCTTGCCCTCTCACCTATTATATTCTCCTCTTGGAAAATGATTCACTTACCTCCTGCACTTGGCAAAATTATATCATACTTCAAAACTACTGTGTGCTCCTGACTCTACCTACACCAAGCTGTTAGCCAGCTCCTGCTCTGCTCCCTTGCTACACCAGGCATATCTCTAATCACACTCGTCACATGGTAGTATAATTGTTATTTTACTTCCCTGCCTTGTAAATTAGACAGTTAATTCCTTGATGACCAGAGCTATGACACTCATTTCTGTATCCCTAGTACCTATCAGCTTGGGTCAGTACAAAATAAATTTGTTTGGCATAATTTCAATTATTTGCAAAATGATACCCTAAAAATGATCTTGATACTAACATTCTTTAAAGATTTCTTAATATGCATTATAAAATAAATACCAGGCAACAGGATCCCGAATTAAATAGTCAAATATCTCGACTATAAGACATTTTTAAACTCTGTCAAAATGACACCACTCTAAAAAGATGCGACCAAGAGCAGATTTCAGAAAAGAGAAGTACAACAGGGAAAGGAAGCAGGAACAACACACTGACTTCGCCAGTGCCTCACGTGGATGCCAGGTCCACATCCAGGTACCATTAACGCTGACAACTAAGAGGGCTTACAATCCCTCTCTGGTGATAATCACAGTGAATCAAAAAAGCAGCAGCCAAATCCAGAATGTGTTTTCTAAACATGCGACGGTGTTTCCCCCCTTGCCGCTTTGTTTAAATGGATTATTTTAATAACTGACTGTGAAGCTACTATTAGCCAAGCAGTATCCCACAGGCATTTTTTTTTTCTTTCTTTCTTTCTTGCCCTTCCCTGAACTTTAAAGACATGGTGCTTTGTACTAATATTCATCTTGCAAACCTTAAAATGTATTAACCTAAAGAAAAAGGAAGAAAAAAAAAAAAAAGCTTAGAAATTGGGGGGAGGGGATTGAGAGGGCAGAGTTCGGATGTGAGGAAAACAAGCCTCCCAGGGCTGTAACATTGACTCAAGGTTACTCCGATCCTTAGGACTTTATGCAGATAAGGCTTTAAAAGCTGAAAACCTCAAACTGTAAAGCGTGCCGTGAGCCAGAGAGGTGGCATACCTGCTCCAACAACTCAACAGGACAAATGATTTGCAAAAGGACTGATTGGCCCTGCAGCCTGCAGCCCGCAGCCCGCAGCCCGCAGCCCGCAGCCTGCAGCCCGGCCCGGGAGGTGAGCGCCCCGGCGGGCCAGGGGAACAACCCCCCCCCCC